CCCCTTGTGCCTGAAGTCACCCCCTTGTTGGATGCAATTTTTTGTTATACTGAAGCCTCACCCTGGCTTTTGTCGGGGGCTCTGAATATAGCCGGGGCATAAATATGGCCTAGCCATAGTCATGGCCTAACAGCTGAAAGGGGTTTCTGGGACCTCTCCATGGGTGATCCTCTTCGGCATGGTGGCACTTAGTGTCACCAGCAGCTCATCACTTGCGTGATGACTTGGTGGGTAAAAAGTCAGTCTGTCAGTCATGCATCAATTCACCACCAAATGCTGCAGAACCAGCTAATCGGTCCGCCTGTTTATTCATTATATTTAAAAGTGTCAACTAAACCTACTTCTCATTAACTGATGCTTGTCTCTCCTGAGCTCTGGCCATCTTCTTGACAAATGCCAGATACATGTGACTGTCGTACAAGTTGGCTTCAATGGTGTGAATTCGGACATTCAGTTCCAGCAACTGCGGAGAAAACAAAGTTAAACTCTCTGGAATTAAGTATTTTAAACAGGTCACACTCACATGGATACTGTGCAGCAGATGCAGGAGTGCAAGGGAATGAAAGAGCTGGTTTTTGTGTGTGTGACTAAAAAAGCGATAGCACAGGAACACTCGTACTGGACAAAGGAGACATTCTCATTTGTATCCATATCTGGCTTATCTGTATTCATATCTGGGCTTTTTTGTAGCCAGATCTAGCTTATTTTTTAAAGCCAGCTCTGGCTTTTTGTGTCCAGATCTGGCTTATTTGCATCCACAGATTTAGCAGGTGTATCCAGATTTGGCTTATTTGTAGCCAGACCTATGTCTATGCTCCACTTGGAAATGAAAGACAGTCACTGAAGACAATACTACAGTACAAACTGCAATACAATGCCTATGCTCCACTTGGAAATGAAAGACAGTCACTGAAGACAATACTACAGTACAAACTGCCCAGCTTACCTCAAGTGCCTCCTTGCTGTTAGTCAATGTTGAGCTAATTTCCGTGTACGTATTCAAAATGGCAGTGTCATGTTCTTGAATGCTGCGAGCTGAATCTTTTAAAGATTGTTCTTCTTTTAGAATTCGTCTCTTCATGCGCTCAATAATTCGTTTGTGTTTGCCAATGACATTCTGTGGACATTAAAAATGAACAGACACACATTTTTTTTTTTTTTACAGCTTTAAATATCTTATTTTAAAGTGTTTTTTTTCTTGTGGGTTTAAATAATGTGAACATAGATAGAGGAAGACAACAAGAGAAGATTCTTGACAGTCTTGTTGCATGGCATGGAGGTGTGTCAGCACACAAACTGATACGTGCTGCAGGAGATCGCAGACTGTGGAGAGGCATGATCGCCTACACCAGTTGGCAAGTCACCTGATGATAATGATGATGATGATGAACATAGATAATATATTCCCCAAGTTATCATGTGACAAATTTCATTGTCTATTTCAATTTGAAAACAAACGATGAATAAAAAATGTTGTGAATTCAAGAGGGGTGAATAAATAAGAGAAACGTCTGTGCAATCATTAGTATTAACAGTTATAAGACTGAGAAGATGGCACTATATTGGACACATTCTTTTCTCGTGTGGGGTCCGGGGCCCTATTATAGGGAAAACAAGAATAGACCCACTGCCTACCCAAAAGCATGTCGTAAGAGTCGACTAACTGGGAGCTTCATTCAAAGTCGGAGGGCATCTGCCTGAGAGGCAAGGAACCAGCAGTCTACATACAAATGAGTCAGATCTGTAAAACGGATGCACACGCAACACTCAGGTTCTGGAACAGGACAGCAGTCCAAAAGTGGATGAACAACCAGAACTTCCCGCTAGAGTTTACAGCTGGTGAACACAAAGAAGGAGGACACATTCTGAGAAAAGACAAACAGAAAATCAAGTGCCTGGAATGAGGAATACTGCATTGTGTAAACCCAAAAAATCATGCAGTTAATCGGAGACTGCCATGGTAAGATGTTCAGTGTAATGAATGACCATATGAATTCAGCTATATGGACTCAACCCCTTTATGGAGACATGACACACATTTTAGCATTAACTACCCAATACAGCAATGGGAGATTACTGGGAGATTACTAGATTATGTATCCCTAGAACCTCTAAACAGAAGAAACAGCATTCTGTCCCAAACCTTACAGTATTTTGGCCATGTTTAACGGCATGGTGGCCTGGAGAGAACAAAGATGGAGAGTAGTTGCTGGAAAATAAGGCATAGGCAGGCCTTCGTGAAAGTGGATACAATGAGACTGACTATGTATTATCTATTAAAAAAACACAGAGCTGGAGAACTGGCTAGAGAAAGACAGACTTTCAAGCATGCTGTGATGAGAGCAACATCCTGCAAAGGACCTGGTGACTAGCGATGATGACCCAATTCATACCATGGTTCCTAAAATGATCCTTTACTTTAGACTTACTGGCCATGAGGTCCCAACACAGACCATGGTTCCCAAAATGATCCTTTACTTTAGACTTACTGGCGATGATGACCCAACACAGACCATGGGTTCCAAAAGGATCCTTTAATTTAGACTTACTGGCGATGATAAACCAACACAGGCCATGGCTTCCAAAAGGATGTTTCAATTTAGACTTACTGGCCATGAGGTCCCTGTACAGATCATGGCTCCCAAAAGGATCCTTTACTTTAGACTTACTGGTGATGATAAACCAACACAGACCATGGCTCCCAAAAGGATCCTTTACTTTAGACTTACTGGTGATGATAAACCAACACAGACCATGACTCCCAAAAGGATTCTTTACTTTAGACTTACTGGTGATGATAACCCAACACAGACCATGACTCCCAAAAGGATTCTTTACTTTAGACTTACTGGTGATGATAACCCAACACAGACCATGACTCCCAAAAGGATCCTTTAATTTAGACTTACTGGTGATGATGACCCAACACAGACCATGGCTTCCAAAAGGATCCTTTAATTTAGACTTACTGGTGATGATGACCCAACACAGACCATAGTTCCCAAAAGGATCCTTTACTTTAGACTTACTGGTGATGATGACCCAACACAGACCATGACTCCCAAAATGATCCTTTACTTTAGACTTACTGGTGATGATGACCCAACACAGACCATGGCTTCCAAAAGGATCCTTTAATTTAGACTTACTGGCGATGATGACCCAACACAGACCATAGTTCCCAAAAGGATCCTTTACTTTAGACTTACTGGCGATGATGACCCAACACAGACCATGGCTCCCAAAAGGATCCTTTACTTCATACTTACTGGCGATGATGTCAGATGCTGCACTCTCTTGATGGACTGCTCCTTCCTGGTGACCTTCCACTTCAGCTCTCGTTTAGCACCTTCTGATTCCATCTGAGACTTACGGATGTACTTGCGTTTTTTGAACAGGTCCTTCAGTCTTTCTTGAAACCTGAAAGTAAATGCATGCAGGATTGTATACCCTCTTTCTATTTCAGACAACTAAAATAAAATCATTTCTACCTGTAAATGCTCTGCATTTAAGGAAGCCTTCTTGTGTGGTATCAGTGTCTGCAGCTTAGCAGTTGCAAACATGCTTCATAATGTCGGGGTGCCAGGTTCAATCCCAGCTGCAAGGCAATTTGACAGCAGACCAGTTTGCATTGGTTTCAACAGTGGTATCGAGAGCTGACTATTCAGAAGCAAATAGCAAGCTTCAGAATCTAAAAACGCCTAATAAAATCACAAACAGTTTTTAAAAAAAAAAACTGGAGTTGGTTCTGCAACGTCCTGTAAAGAACACACAACTAACTTCCTTGGATGGTAGGGAATGCTCGTGTTCTCTCCCTGTCTTCCCTTGAGGGATGACCCCCATTAGATGGCTGCTCTGGGTTGGCCTATTAGGGGCCTCATCTGAGGCTCATCGGAAGCAAAGATGACATAATGATGAGCTTGTGCAATGTCCCATAAAACTAACTAACCCCTGGCAACAAATACCTGAACAAGTAAAATATGTCAGACAACATATGAAAATATCACAGCTATGCTGTTAATTGGAAACACCTTGATTACACTTGGATAAACATAGAAGAAGAAAAAACGAGAAAAGAAAATCCTTTCTTTTTCAGTTATGAAAACAACAGAAAAATGTTGTTGATTCTGTAACAGGAACCTTATGAGATACAGGGAAATGTGCGCAAAAACAGGAAACAGAGAAGAGCTGATACAGATAGTTTATATTCAGAGAATAATACAGTCCTGGAACTGGAAATAACAAAACTAACTGTGTTAGGATCACAAACAACAACAACAAAACTAATTGTGTTAGGATCACAAACAACAATAACAAAACAAACTGTGTTAGGATCACAAACAACAATAACAAAACTAACTGTGTTAGGATCACAAACAACAATAACAAAACTAACTGTGTTAGGATCACAAACAACAACAACAAAACTAACTGTGTTAGGATCACAAACAACAATAACAAAACTAACTGTGTTAGGATCACAAACAACAATAACAAAACTAACTGTGTTAGGATCACAAACAACAATAACAAAACTAATTGTGTTAGGATCACAAACAACAATAACAAAACTAACTGTGTTAGGATCACAAACAACAATAACAAAACTAATTGTGTTAGGATCACAAACAACAATGACAAAACTAATTGTGTTAGGATTACAAACAACAATAACAAAACTAACTGTGTTAGGATCACAAACAACAATGACAAAACTAATTGTGTTAGGATCACAAACAACAATAACAAAACTAACTGTGTTAGATCACAAACAACAATAACAAAACTAACTGTGTTAGGATCACAAACAACAATAACAAAACTAATTGTGTTAGGATCACAAACAACAATAACAAAACTAATTGTGTTAGGATCACAAACAACAATGACAAAACTGTTGTGTTAGGATCACAAACAACAATGACAAAACTGTTGTGTTAGGATCACAAACAACAATAACAAAACTAATTGTGTTAGGATCACAAACAACAATAACAAAACTATTGTGTTAGGATCACAAACAACAATAACAAAACTAATTGTGCTAGGATCACAAACAACAATAACAAAACTGTGTTAGGATCACAAACAACAATAACAAAACTAACTGTGTTAGGATCACAAACAACAATAACAAAACTAACTGTGTTAGGATCACAAACAACAATAACAAAACTAACTGTGTTAGGATCACAAACAACAATAACAAAACTAACTGTGTTAGGATCACAAACAACAATAACAAAACTAATTGTGTTAGGATCACAAACAACAATAACAAAACTAATTGTGTTAGGATCACAAACAACAATAACAAAACTAACTGTGTTAGGATCACAAACAACAATAACAAAACTAATTGTGTTAGGATCACAAACAACAATAACAAAACTAATTGTGTTAGGATCACAAACAACAATAACAAAACAAACTGTGTTAGGATCACAAACAACAATAACAAAACAGAATGTGTTAGGATCACAAACAACAATAACAAAACTGAATGTGTTAGGATCACAAACAACAATAACAAAACTAACTGTGTTAGGATCACAAACAACAATAACAAAACTAACTGTGTTAGGATCACAAACAACAATAACAAAACTAACTGTGTTAGGATCACAAACAACAATAACAAAACTAACTGTGTTAGGATCACAAACAACAATAACAAAACTAACTGTGTTAGGATCACAAACAACAATAACAAAACTAACTGTGTTAGGATCACAAACAACAATAACAAAACTAACTGTGTTAGGATCACAAACAACAATAACAAAACTAACTGTGTTAGGATCACAAACAACAATAACAAAACTAACTGTGTTAGGATCACAAACAACAATAACAAAACTAACTGTGTTAGGATCACAAACAACAATAACAAAACTAACTGTGTTAGGATCACAAGCAACAATGAATTTACTATACGGGGACAAGATAACAATTAATGCACTGTTTTGGGAAAAATTTAATTTAAAAAAGAATAATCTCACTGTCTTGTGAAAGGAAAAACCAATAATCTCACTGTCTTGGGAAAGGGAAAATCCAATAATCTCACTGTCTTGGGAAAGGGAAAATCCAATAATCTCACTGTCTTGGGAAAGGGAAAATCCAATAATCTCACTGTCTTGGGAAAGGGAAAATCCAATAATCTCACTGTCTTGGGAAAGGGAAAACCAATAATCTCACTGTCTTGGGAAAGGACAAACCAATAATCTCAGTGTCTTAGGAAAGGAAAAACCAATAATCTCACTGTCTTGGGAAAGGAAAAACCAGTAATCTCACTGTCTTGCGAAAGGAAAAACCAATAGTCTCACTGTTTTGGGAAAGGAAAAAATAATATGCTCACTATCTTGGGAAAGGGAAAACCAATAATTTCACTGTCTTGGGAAAAGGAAAAACAATAATCTTACTGTCTTGTGAAAGAAAAAAAACCAATAATCTCACTGTTTTGGGAAAGGAAAAAAACAATCTCACTGTCTTGGGAAAGAAAAACCAATATCTCACTGTCTTGGGAAAGGGAAAACCAATAATCTCACTGTCTTGGGAAAGGACAAACCAATAATCTCACTGTCTTGGGAAAGGAAAAAAAAAATAATCTCAGTGTCTTTGGAAAGGACAAACCAATAATCTCAGTGTCTTTGGAAAGGACAAACCAATAATCTCAGTGTCTTTGGAAAGGACAAACCAATAATCTCAATGTCTTGGGAAAGGAAAAATCAATAATCTCACTGTCTTGGGAGAGAGAAAAACAGTAATATCACTGTCTTGGGAAAGGAAAAACCAATAATCTAACTGTCATGGGAGAGGGAAAAACAACTCAACATTTTTTCCTTCTATATTTGCCTTTAAAAAAATAGCAGCTGGCACACTGTATTGTAGTTTACAGCTACAACATGACATGCTTGTTAGATCAGTGTGTCTATTCTTATTATTCTTAGGACATTAGCTGAATAGCTCTGGATAGCAGATAGAAATTATCTCATTAGCTATGGATAGCAGGTAAAAATTTTCTCACCAGCTTTCAATAACAGATAACAATTATCTCACCAGCTTTGGATATCAGATAATTATCTCACTAGCTTTGGATAGCAGATACAAAATTGTTTGTTAGTTAGTTAGTTGGGTTATCATCATTGCACTCCGGACATGTCCATAGGTGCTCAGATCCTCCCCTCAGTATGAACCCCAACATCCGATGGCTAATAGTACCAGTTCTATGTTGATTAACAAGTCCTCTGGCGTGTCTGGTGTGCGTCTCGTTTTTTGCTATGCCGATCTTAATTCTCAAGTTTGCCATTCTGGCGAGTGATGTGGATTCACTGCCACCAAAGTCCTCTATCCTTCCCAATTCTCTGAGGGCATTGATAATATCAGCATGATCCATAGGGTGACCGTCGGTAGTGATAGCGGATCCAGCCAACCTGTCAGCTCTTTCATTTCCATTGACGCCTGCGTGTCCCGAAAAAAAAAATAAAGGTGACTTCCCTTCTGTAATGATTCAAGCCATTGTCTTCGCACTGAACCTGCCGGAACCCTCCAGATCATACTCATTGAATCACTGAGTATACATACTTGGGTGTATTTTTGCGTTTCAAGAAAGGCAAACGCTTGGGTCACTGCCATCACCTCCATCATCATGCTGCTGCTTGTCATGGAGATACAAAATTGTCTAACCAGCTATGGATAGCAAATAAAAAATATCTCACCAGCTTTGGATAGTGAATAAAAATTATCTCACTAGCTTCAGACACAAGATAAAGATTATCTTACCAGCTCTGGATAGCAGAAAAAAATTCTAGCTTTAAATAACAGAAAAAAAAAATTTCCTCATTGTGTTAGGAAAAGAAATAACAATTAACACACTGTCTAAGGATAAGAAATAACAATAAACTCACTGTCGTAGAATTGGAGAGGCAGCTGGTGCTGTTGCCGTTCCCACATTTTCTAGAGCGTCCGCAAGCTTCTGCTTAGTCTTTCTGAGCTCTTGATTCTGCAGATGTTGAGATAGTTACAATGTAGTTACAATGCATCAATTATTCAATGAGACAGCTACAATGTAGTTACAATGCATCAATTATTCAATGAGACAGTTACAATGTAGTTACAATGCAACAATTATTCAATGAGACAGCTACAATGTAGTTACAATGCATCAATTATTTAATGAGACAGTTACATTGTAGTTACAATGCATCAATTATTCAATGAGACAGTTACAATGTAGTTACAATGCATCAATTATTTAATGAGACAGTTACATTGTAGTTACAATGCAACAATTATTCAATGAGACAGTTACAATGTAGTTACAATGCATCAATTATTCAATGAGACAGCTACAATGTAGTTACAATGCATCAATTATTTAATGAGACAGTTACATTGTAGTTACAATGCATCAATTATTCAATGAGACAGTTACAATGTAGTTACAATGCATCAATTATTCAATGAGACAGCTACAATGTAGTTACAATGCATCAATTATTTAATGAGACAGTTACAACGTAGTTACAATGCATCAATTATTCAATGAGACAGTTACATTGTAGTTAGAATGCAACAATTATTCAATGAGACAGTTACAATGCATCAATTTTTCAATGATAGTTACAATGCAGTTACAATGCAACAATTATTCAATGAGACAGTTACAATGTAGTTACAATACATCAATTATTCAATGAGACATTTACAATGTAGTTACAATGCATCAATTATTCAATGAGACATTTACAATGTAGTTACAATGCATCAATTATTCAATGAGACAGTTACAATGTAGTTACAATGCAACAATTTTTCAATGATAGTTACAATGCAACAATTATTCAATGAGACAGTTACAATGTAGTTACAATGCATCAATTATTCAATGAGACATTTACAATGTAGTTACAATGCATCAATTATTCAATGAGACAGTTACAATGTAGTTACAATGCATCAATTATTCAATGAGACAGTTACAATGTAGTTACAATGCATCAATTGTTCAATGAGACATTTACAATGTAGTTACAATGCATCAATTATTCAATCTTCTTGTGCGGATTCCAAAGGCTCTTTTTGAGGGACAAAAAGAATAGACCCCCCCCCCCCCCCCCAGTGGAACAAGCATCGTAAAAGTCGACTTATCTGGTGTTTAACGTTCTAAGTTAAGAGTGCTTCTGTCTGAGAGGCAAGGAACCTAGTTCCAATGAACTATACTGGTTAGTTGTGTATCCTTTACAGGACGCTGCAGAACCAACCCCAAAAACCCCTGGCTGTTGTGTGGTTTTTCTAGGCAAATTTACGTCCAGTAGTTTGCCATTGCTTTCTGGACGGTTGGATTTCTTGATACCACTGTCGAAACCAACGCAAGGCGCATGGCCCGCAGCTGTGACCGAACCCGGCATTACGACGCGTTCGCATCGACTTAGCCACAGAGCCAACAGTGAACTATTCAGTGAAAGTAATTTTAAAAAAAATTGGTGGTAATATGAGGTGAGCTTCATGCAACTGCAGAAAACAGGATGACCTGGCATGAGTTGGTTGAGGGCCTATGCTCTATTTGGGGACAAAGTTAAGGGAAAGAAGAAATAACACAAAACTGATGTGACCATAAAGTCTGGTCACTTGACCTAATACTGACCTCTTTTTCCAGATCCTTCACGTACTTCTTGTAGTTGGCAATATGAAAGTCGACACTCATCACGTTTTTCTTCAGCTGAAATCAGAAATAATCAAAGTGTCAACCACAAATCTGCACAGTCACAATCCTGTATCCTCACAACACAGCACAATGAGACAACCACAACCATGTACAGTCACAATCCTGTATCTTCACAACACAGCACAATGAGACAACCACAACCATGCACAGTCACAATCCTATACCCTCACAACACAGCACAATGAGACAACCGCAACCATGCACAGTCACAATCCTGTACCCTCACAACACAGCACAATGGGACAACCACAGCCCTGCACAATCACAATCCTGTACCCTCACAACACAGCACAATGGGACAGCCACAGCCCTGCACAATCACAATCCTGTACCCTCACAACCCAGCACAATAGGACACCACAACCCTGAACAATCACAATCCTGTACCCTCACAACACAGCACAATAGGACAGCCACAGCCATGAACAATCACAATCCTGTACCCTCACAACACAGCACAATAGGACACCACAACCATGAACAATCACAATCCTGTACCCTCACAACACAGCACAATAGGACACCACAACCATGAACAATCACAATCCTGTACCCTCACAACACAGCACAATGGGACAACCATAACAATGAACAATACCAACTATGTACAACCCCCAACCTGTTAAAATCTCAAGTGTGTAAAACCACAACCATGCACAGCAACATACAAAACACAACAGTACAACTACAACCTTGTACTTTCCCCTCACACAACAGTGCAAACCCAACCCTGTACAACTCCCAACTTTTACAGTCACAACCCTGACCTTCCACATCACTTTACAACAACAACCCTAGTACTCCATCGTTCGCCTGAGTGACATAATTGCGGTTTGCCTATTTACAGCATAGATCTGATATCTGCACATTTCAGTAAACACACTCGACTTCAGCAGACAATTGTTCACTGAGTTAGAATTCCCGGATGGCTTCCTGGGGACATGATTCAGCATTATTTGTGTGGGGGTCCTTTTTGTCACTTCATCTACAAGTGTTGCCCCTGAAGAACATCTACAACATGCAAATATGTCTTTAAAGCATATGGGTGTGTATACATATTTACATATACAGGGAGCCGCTATGGCGTAGTGGCTAGACGTTCCCCTGCGGATCTTGAGATTGTGGGTTTCGGGAGGGGGGGGGGGGGGGGGGGGGGGGGGGGGGTGGTTGGTTCTCATTTGAACAATATTCACTAATCTTTAAACTATGAAGACCACCTCTCCCCCCCCCCCTAAACATTTCAATTAACATTTCAAAATAAAGGATCTACCAGGAAGGCTAACCTGGGTAACAAATGCCAGCAGAAGTTAGATGTGTTGGCTGAAAGGCTCAAAAACCACAGCCATGCGGTAAACTAGCACCACACATTTACGTCTTCAGATGAAAAAAGAAGAAGAAGAAATCAAGAATCTACTACATGACCGTATGTAACTACAGACTCACATCGGCTCTGATGTGCTTGGCTCTGTCCGCGTATCTCAGTGTGTTGTACGTATCTTCAAAAGATCTGCTTGACGGGCTGAAATAAATCATTGTGAAAATTGTAACCAAGTGGTTAGTGTGCCTGTCTGCTTCTCACAGTCAGTCCTGGAAAGTAATAGTGGTCAGGGGTGCTGCTGACCACATCATTCATTAAGTGCCGACTGCTCTATAAAATACAGGTCTAGCCCTACATACCCATGCGATAAACCTTGGCTTATGACGTATTTGCTTTCGCCAGGATTCGGCTTTATATGATTACTGCAACATAGCTGCTTGCACTGCTCTAACGTCTAGGATTGATAACACAAACGGTTCTCACTTCCTTTATACATTTCTGTCAGTTTATTCGATCACATTCTTCCACACTGTTCCAAAAATTATTCAGACATCCACGAATCAGTCCCAAGACATTCTTCTTCTTCTTTCGTTCGCCTGAAATAAGTTGTCTATATCAGCAATTTTGTCTCTTGTATAAATTTCACTGTTGTTGTTAATTCATTCAGTGGTCCATAGAGTTTACATTCCACTGTTGTTCTTTCTGGCCAAAAAGGTTTGCCTTAATGTGTCAAATTCGGTGCAGTCCTGGAGTACATGCTCTGCTGTCTGGGCACTTTTCCACAGGTGCACATGGCTGATACACCTATCTTGAATTTTGTGTACATGTGGTTACGTAATCGGTTGTGCCCTGTTCTGAGGTGGAGGATAATGACTTGTTCTGATCTGTCCATAATAAAATAGTCGTCTTGTGCTGGGGCTGGTGGTTTCCTGATTGATTTAATGATTCTTTTCTTTTGGTGGTATGTGACTGGTACATCCGGCTGCACTTTTGTCGCACCTTCTCCTGCCAGTTGATCAGCTTTCTCATTTCCAGACATCCACAATGTGATGGTATCCACTGCATTACAACTCTTCGCTGAAGGCTAAGTTGTGTCAGCAGTGTTTGCAATTCTGGTAGTTTCCTAGACTGGAGTGCTTCAAGTACTGATTTTGCATCAGTCAGCATTACCACATACTGTGAGCCAAGATTGGTATTTAGCAGTTTCTCTGTTGCTATCTTGATAGCCTGAGTTTCTGCATCATAGTTATGGCAGTACTTTCCGGTTGGTTTGCTGGACTTATCCCTAGTACCATCTGAGAATTCTATGTACACTCCAGCACCACCATTTCTAACTGCACTTTCTGCACACCCATCTGTATATCCCAAGACATTGAAACTACATCTATTAACACAACTGTCTTCTACGACTTCTAGTAAGCAACTGACCTTGAGTCTAGCTCGGGTCTGCCCACGTTTACTCAACCTCACATAGAATTAGCCTCATTTAAAAGTAGAACCTCACATAAAGTTCTAATGTATAACTACAATCATAGCCTCATGTAAAACACTAATGTAAAATTACAACAATGTGTAAAATGTAAAACTTCATGTAGATCTAAAATGTACAATCTCATGTAAAACTACAGCCATACATAAAAACTACAACATTTAAAACAAAGATGAAAAATTAAAATCACATGTAAAGATGAAAAACTACAATCACATGTAAAACAATCATATTAACTACGACAGATAAAACTAGGAGTCTACCTGACAGCGGCAATCATGACAGTCTGGCAGTTGCCCCCCAAAGAATCCTTCAACAGTCGAGTTAGTTTGCTGTCTCTGTATGGAATGTGACCTTTGAACTGTGCAAACGAAAACAAAAATCATAACTACATACATGCACTGTGGAATCAACCTTGATTTTATATATTTATAAAGTGTAGACCTGATAAGGAGAACTCAGGGAACCCAAGAAATTGTACTTCTTATCAGAAATTCTTCTTATCCAGTTAAGATTTCAAGCTAGAAAAATTGCCGGAGATAAAAAAAAATATGTTTTTCCCAACATAAATTCACCACATATGATATCTCCTTAAGCGGTCTGAATTGTACAGACACAGGTTATGATCCGAAGATATAGCATTAAGATGCAGGGAAACACCGATAAGAATATGGACTGAAGGAGTCACTGATAGCTTAAGACTTCCCAACATCAAAGAATACCAAGCAATCGAGTGCGCCCAAGCTTATCTACCGATGATCAGTTAAAACATGACACCTAGCAACCCAGAGCAGATACAGAGAACAAATAAGCTAATGAATCATATTTTAAAATTGTCATAAACTGGACATGCAGGCTGGTCTTACATTCAGCTTTTTCTAACACTCATCGTTCACATACATAGAGACACTTGAATCAATACCAATTTTTATATTATACCTATATACAGACACTATGGAATCAGTATGTTGAAGGTTGAATTAAGAATCAAAATAAGAGCACTCTGAACATTCCCATAAGTGCTCAGTCCCCATCTTCAGCAGCAAGCAAAAAGTTCCAATTCTGATGGTACTAGTAACTGTCTGATTGTAAATCCTCTCTTCCTTCCCCTGAGTGTTGAGCGTCGGCCAGATCCCCTGCTAACTCCTCGCAGCACCATTCTCCTCAGACCGCAATAATCTATCTCAACCTTCACACTGTTCAACCGTTCCCAAAGGGTCCTCACAATATCTAACCTGTCATACATCAATTCACCACCTAGTGGTGCAGAGCCAGCCAATCTATCTGCAAGAATCTGTACTAATTTTTAAACTATCAAAGAATTTTTCAAGACAGCAAAATGGCCCATAGATACCTTCTTGTTCTGTCTTTCCTCACCCAGTGAAGAAAATGAATTTGGCCGAAACTTGTAGGATTGTTCATCATTAGCTATTTATCAATGGCAGAGGTAGTCGATCTCACACCAAACCTTCTTTAGTGGTAATTTTCTTTTAAATGAATCAACCCCACATGAACAATTAATTAAAGTCAGTGGTGCAAGTATAGCAACTATGTATGTATGGAATTGGTCAAATATATAGAAACTAGTACAATTATAGAATTGTGTAAGTATAGAAGTGGTGTAAATATATAATTGGTGCAAGTACAGAATTGTTGCAGGTAAAGAAACAGTGCAAGAATAGAAAATTGGTGCAAGTATTGAAACAGTCCAATTATAGAAAACTGGTGCCAGTATAGAATTGGGGCAAGTATAGAAACAGTCCAAGTATAGAAAACCGGTGAAAGAAGAGAACTGGTGGAGGTAAAGAAATCATGCAAGAATGGAGATAGCACAAATATAGAAATTGGTGCAGTAGTGAAACAGTCCAAGTACAGAGAATTGGTGATAGTACAGAACTGGTGCAAGTATAGAAACAGTGCAAGAATAGAAATAGTACAAATATAGAAACTGGTGCGAAGTATTGAACAGGTCCAAGTATAGAAATTGGTGTTGGTATTGAAAAGGTCCAAGTATAGAAATTGGTGCAAGTACAGAAAAGGTCCTAATTAAGAAAATTTGTTTTGATACAGAATCAGAGCAAATATAGAAACTAATGCAAGTATACCCATAAAGACTGGTGCAAGTAGATAAATTCAAAAATCTCTTAGTACATGGATAACATCAAATAGAAGATGTTTCTGAACAGAACAGGACAAGCAAGAGCTTCAGACTATACAACAAAGAACATTTATGTAATAGATCTCTGTCAATGGAGTTTAGAAAAATAGTTCTTGCATGCTACATGAGGAAGAAGAAGAAGAAGAGGAATGGAAGGAGGAAGAAGGAGGACAAAGAAGAAAAAAGAGGAGGAAGGAGGAGGTAGAGAAATGCGGATAAAGAAGAGGAAAAAAAGAGAAGAAAGAAAAACATGGGGGGGGGGGGGGGGGGGGGGGGGACATAAGAAGCTTCTTCTTTTTTTTCTCTTCCACCATTTACCTCAGCTAGGTGTTGGGGGGAGATGTAAGGATCGTTTATGCATTTTTTCCAATGCATTGTACAAGTTGGTGTTCATTTCTGTTAGGCTGCTCCTGATGCTGTTGCTCCATAACTTGAGTGGTCTTCCCCTTGCTCTGTGTTCATTATATTTCTTCAGCCTGGCTCTCTGTGGCAGTTGGTACCAGGGTTTTCAAAAAAGAAGAAGCAAGTTTTACAAAATAAAAACGAAAACAAACCTTATTGTCAGCAAGCGCGTTGATGACATTACCCAAAGCCAGCAGTGACCGATTTATGTTGGCACCTTCCCGGAACCTAGCCCCACAGTTCGTCGAATGGTTCGCCCTCTCCGACCCTGCCAGGTCAACTAGGCACATCTTAGCCATTCTGACCTCTGTACTGACACTGGCCGACTTCTCTCGCTGGTTGACAAACACCTGAGGAAAATATGCACACTACAGTACAAGCCACTTAAGAGTCCAGACAAAAAAGAATTCCCATATTATATTTTTTTTTAAATATGAAGCCTAATATTCTTCATAACTTTTTTTTTTAATTTAAAAATATGATGCATATTTCAAATCCAGGATTAAATTGTATAAATGATAACATCCACTTTTCTTGTGGCAACCTATGAACTTGTTTCACGAACAATTTTGCGTGCAACATACATATGTGAATTGTTTTCTGCTTCAGAGAAACATTTGGATTTAAATTCTGGGTCATTTTATGGGCAATATATGGATGTGAATCGCAAACCATTTCATAAACAATCTTGTTCTTTATTTTTCTTCTTGAAAAATTATGGTTGTTGGTCCACTACTGGACTTCGGTCTTGTTCCAGAAGTTGAGTTTTGCAGATCTGAATTACTTGTCTGCAGACTGTTGGTTTCTCGCCTCTCAGGCATATGTACTCCAACTTCAAAGGATACTATGCTTGTTAGTGAGGGCAGTCTTAAGCAAGATCATATTAACGAGGTTTTACTGTAATTTTCTGCTGCTTTACAAGAATGATTTTTAATTTACAGAAATAAATAATTTCTTATATTTAAAAATTGCAAGATACTCTGCTACTAATACCTGAAACACTGCATGAGATCTGGATGATTCTGCATTGGCGTCTGTTGGGTGTTGAGTTCGATTCTTGTTTCCAAACTGTAACATGTGCAGTAGTTCATCTGCTGTCTTTGGCTGAGTAAAGATTAGGTGGTCAAATTAATTCAATAAATTTTCATGTTCAGAGATGGTTTTCTTTGCATTTATTACCAACATCATCAATTTCCATTTCTGCCATTTAGCTCCATGTGGGAGGAACAGTTTGCGATCCATTGCATGATGGACAGCAATGGCTATTGTCATTCGGTGTTGATGTTTGAGCTCTTTAAAGTCATCAATCCATATGCTCGTAGGGCAACCTCTTGCCTTCACATCAGATCTTTTCATGTATAGTGCCTGCATTGGTGGCTGTTCTGGCTTTCTTACTAGACAAAACCATATGATCTACTGTTTCTCAATTAATTTGCTGCACGGTATTGTTTTTAGTCTGCCCGACAATATCATTTCTAACTTTATCTTAGATGGCAGCGTTTTTCCGGCATCTCATTTCACAGGTGTGACATCACCATTGACAATCTGCAACTAAATACATCTTCAGGACTTCTTTTTCTTCATCTGCACTCGACATAAGTCATGCTAAACATTGAGTCCTGTCTGGGTCACAAAAAGGATTGTGCATTTAAGGTCGCCACTGGTCCCCTATAGCTTCTCTTGCAATGTAGCTCCTTGGGCCAGATCCACAGTCTTTGCTGGGAGAAATTAGGGCAGTACTGCAGTATGTGCTCAGGGGTCTGTCTATTTTCAGGACTATAATTTGTCACTTTACAACATGCTAAAATCACATGTGAATTCCAACTCCGACTAGGTCAAAATGAAAAACTCTTTCATGCAATTACAGTTTTTAAAGGTGCAGCTGGCTGAATGGTTAGAATGCTGGGTTCTCAAACAGGAGACCCGAGTTCAAATCCTTGGTTAGGTTGGAGATTTTTTCCCCGTTGGAGGCATAAATAAATCCCTAACCTGCAGTCTGTGGTGACAGCTCTTGCCATGTGGCCCTAAATCTTCAGGCTCATATCCCCACCCCCTTAATGTAAAAATGGTAAATTTATGCCATAATGTCAGTTCGGGAGACACTGTGGTGTCGCAGCTAGATGATACTCACATGCGGATCCAAAGGTCGTGGGTTCAAATCCAGACGGTACTGGGTGTTTTTTCAAAAATGACCTTGACTCTCAAGTCAACCCAGCCTTAAATGGGTACCAAGTAAAATATCCTGGGCAGTAAAGGTGGCCGGCATAATAATGTCCACATCACCTGCTGAATGCTGATTGGTCTAAAAATATAGGCCTAGTCCTATACACCTAATATAACTGAAGGTGTGAAAAAGTGTTCTTTACCTCAGCTGTCAAATGTGATCTTCACAAAAGAAGGAGTCAGTACTAAGCTGACTTTGGTGTAGTGACAACCATATATGATGTAGGTTACGATTTCATTATCTGTGTGGGCAGTGCTCTTATTGGACTGGTTGTTCTATCAATTGTGCCTTTTCTTCTAATTGTTCTCTGCACGACCACAGCTTAAAGGTTTGATACTGAGCCGACTCAAGTAGCCACTGTCTGGATGCCAATCCAAGAGATACCCTGTTCATCTGTATAAAACAGATATATTGGGGTATACTCAGGTTACAAACAGTATCCTAATGTCATGTGTGAGTTGGAAGCCTTTGTGGCTACAGTGGCATCCTTCTCTAGCACAGCTTCATGTTCACTGGCTGTAAACTCCGGCGGAAAAATCTGGTTGTTCACCCACTTTTGCACTTTAGTCTTGATCCAGAACTTCAGTTTTGTAAGAACATCCGATTTACAGATCCGGCTTATTTGTATGCACACTGTTGGTTCATTGCCTTTCAAACAGATCTACTCCAACTTTGAAAGAAAAACCCCTAATTAGTAGCTTCTAAGGACATGTTTGTTAGGGCACATTGGGTCCTTTCTTTGACCGAACAGTTTGGAAAGTATTTATCATCATCTGCCCACCTGATTTTTTTAAACATATTCAGGTTGATGTCTTAATATATTAAAGAAACATACAATAGAACAAAGAGGGAGGTGGGGGATGAAGAAAGAAAGAAAGAAAAAAAGAAAGAAAGAAAAAAAAAAAGAAAGAAAGAAAGAAAGAAAGAAAGAAAGAAAGAAAGAAAGAAAAACAGAAAGAATGAAAGAAAAAAGAAAGACAGACAGACAAGCAGCTGTAGGATTACCTTATGTAATGAGAGCCCGGCAATGATGACCCCTACATTCTTGTCCTCTCTAATGGGCAGATTCCCTCGTGGCATCAGTAAATCCCGCACCTGCTCATTGTATACCTGAAGGACGAAGCACAATGTACATCTGAGAGAAGTGGCACGATAAACAAATTCACATGTACTGATTTGCACTCACAGATGCAGAAAACAGAAAAAAAGATTGGAAGACACTCTAGACAAAATACAAATATTGGGGGGGACCCTGTCAACTCTAAATGACAATGATGCATGGCTGCAATAAAAACTGTATTTTGACACATCGCCAACTAGACGCCTTGATTTCTTCTTCTTAAAGTTCATTCCGTGTGGCTGTGGTAGTCATGTTCATTCCGTGTGGCTGTGGTAGTCATGTTCATTCCGTGTGGCTGTGGTAGTCATGTTCATCCACAACCTTCTGTTTCGTGTACTTTCAATCAACTCTGACACAGATTATCTTCTATGCCATGATGTCAAACTGTCCAGCATCTGTTCTCTCAGTCTCCCTCTGCCTCTCCTACCCTCCACTTTCCTACTGTCACGATGTACTCCAGTTTTCTCCTTCTCGTCACATGACCAAAAAATGTAGACTCTTTTTCTGTTGAGGGCAATCGGTTCTCTTCGTTTAATTTTAGCCTTGATTTAGCTGGGAGGGGGGAGTAAATGTATTCACTGCCTCTTAACAAGTATGTCATAACAGACGACCAGTTAAAGATTTAAAACTGCCTTTTTAACAGTGAAGAAGAAGAAAAAGACGAAGAAGAAGAAGATTTGCTCTAAAAATGCATATTCTGGTTTGGTTTATACTGGATTGTTTTCACCTTCACATGTGCAGCAAGCTCCTGGTATAGGTCACACAAGGAAAAACGTGTACAAAATCTTCAGCAAAATCCAAACGTATTTAAATCGAAGCCAACATCATCTTCTTCTTCTTCAGCATTCAAAGCCTTAAAGGTTCACCGCTGCTGCAAATATCACCTACCTCCATTCATCTTTGTGAATGGCCTTCCCATACTAGTTGGTGACTCCTAGTGTTTGCAGGTCTGCATGAACATTACCTCTCCACCATCTTCTCGGTCTACTTCATGCTCTACTCCCATTCAACTCTTTTGCGTGTGCTGTTCTGGCTCTCTGGTATCTGCCATTTTCTCCATACAGTACAGCACTCAACATCAAAAATGATCTAAAAGTAACAAAAACTTCATTAAAAACCAACCTCAGAGTATGAGACAGCAACATCAAACATCTTCTCGTCCTTCTGTTCATTGATCCTTCGGTAGAGGTCTATCATGGTGTAGTAAATCACTCCAGGCTCCCTTTCATTTCCAAGCATCGTGTGCGTCTTCCCTGCACCAGTGGCTCCATAAGCAAACACTGAGAACAAACAGAATATGTATCGATTTGGAAATGCATTCAGTAAATCAATCAAAACAGAATATGTATCGATTTGGAAATGCATTCAGTAAATCGATCTCTGAAAACAGAATATGTATCGATTTGGAAATGCATTCAGTAAATCGATCTCTGAAAACAGAATATGTATTGATTTGGAAATGCATTCAGAAAATGATCTCTGAAAACAGAATATGTGTCAATTTGGAAATGCAATCAGTAAATCAATCTCTGAAAGCAGAATATGTGTCAATTTGGAAATGCATTCAGTAAATCAGTCTCTGAAAACAGAATATGAGTCAATTTGGAAATGCATTCAGTAAATCAATCTCTGAAAACAGAATATGTGTCAATTTGGAAATGCATTCAGTAAATCAGTCTCTGAAAACAGAATATGAGTCAATTTGGAAATGCAATCTCTGAAAGCAGAATATGTGTCAATTTGGAAATGCATTCAGTAAATCAGTCTCTGAAAACAGAATATGAGTCAATTTGGAAATGCATTCAGTAAATCAATCTCTGAAAACAGAATATGTGTCAATTTGGAAATGCATTCAGTAAATCAGTCTCTGAAAACAGAATATGAGTCAATTTGGAAATGCATTCAGTAAATCAGTCTCTGAAAACAGAATATGAGTCAATTTGGAAATGCATTCAGTAAATCAATCTCTGAAAACAGAATATGAGTCAATTTGGAAATGCATTCAGTAAATCAATCTCTGAAAACAGAATATGAGTCAATTTGGAAATGCATTTCAGTAAATCAATCTCTGAAAACAGAATATGTGTCAATTTGGAAATGTTTTCAGTAAATCAATCTCTGAAAACAGAATATGAGTCAATTTGGAAATGCATTCAGTAAATCAATCTCTGAAAACAGAATATGTGTCAATTTGGAAATGCATTCAGTAAATCAATCTCTGAAAACAGAATATGAGTCAATTTGGAAATGCATTCAGTAAATCAATCTCTGAAAACAGAATATGAGTCAATTTGGAAATGCATTCAGTAAATCAGTCTCTGAAACAGAATATGTGTCAATTTGGGAAATGCATTCAGTAGATCAATCTCTGAAAACAGAATATGAGTCAATTTGGAAATGTTTTCAGTAAATCAGTCTCTGAAAACAGAATATGTGTCAATTTGGAAATGCATTCAGTAGATCAATCTCTGAAAACAGAATATGTGTCAATTTGGGAAATGCATTTCAGTAAATCAGTCTCTGAAAACAGAATATGTGTCAATTTGGAAATGCATTCAGTAGATCAATCTCTGAAAACAGAATATGAGTCAATTTGGAAATGCATTCAGTAAATCAGTCTCTGAAAACAGAATATGTGTCAATTTGGAAATGCATTCAGTAGATCAATCTCTGAAAACAGAATATGTGTCAATTTGGAAATGCATTCAGTAAATCAGTCTCTGAAAACAGAATATGAGTCAATTTGGAAATGCAATCAGTAAATCAATCTCTGAAAACAGAATATGAGTCAATTTGGAAATGCATTCAGTAGATCAATCTCTGAAAACAGAATATGTGTCAATTTGGAAATGCATTCAGTAAATCAGTCTCTGAAAACAGAATATGTGTCAATTTGGAAATGCATTCAGTAAATCAGTCTCTGAAAACAGAATATGAGTCAAATGTTTTCAGAAATGCATTCAGTAAATCAGTCTCTGAAAACAGAATATGAGTCAATTTGGAAATGCATTCAGTAAATCAATCTCTGAAAACAGAATATGAGTCAATTTGGAAATGCATTCAGTAGATCGATCACTGAGAACTCCCAGTGTAGGTTCTGAGGTGAAAAAGCATATATCCAATGCATTCCTAACAAGAATGACGTACAAGGCGACCAATTAGGTAAGTGTCCTTCGAAGTCGCAGTGGATCTGGCAAAGAGATGAGGCACCAACAGTCTCCATACAAATGGGCCAGATCTATAAAATTGATGTGCACGCAAAACAAGTTCTGGGCCAAGACTATAGTTCAAAAAGGGACGAACAACCAGAAATTTCCCCTCACACTGATTTACCGAGAAACTGTTGTTTAAATTAAAATTTTAAAAAAAAAAAAACAAAAAAAAACAGGCAACACAAAACTAAGAGAAAGGACTTACCACTACAGTTGTACCCATTCAGAACCCCACACACAATCTGTTTAGTCGTCTGCTCAAAGACATCCCTGTTGTTTGCGGAAGGCCCAAATACATAGTCAAAGGCATATTTCAAATCTTTAAAACGCCGCCGATTGATGTCTCTTTGGCTCATGAGCAGGAAACCAGATGTGTTCTGTATTTTGGGGTCAAACACCAACATGTGGTCGCTGATGGCCTCTGTGACTATGTGATACTTCTCACTCTGCTCGGATTCATTCATGGGACGGACTCGCACAACTACCTGTAAAACATCATATATTAACTGTTATGTGAACGTTCAAAATATACATACAAAAGTCAAGAGGTGCTTTCATAGCACAAGGAAATTTGTGGAGTTCAAAAAGAAATTAAAACTAGTACTAAAATTAACTTTTTTTAAAATTCTCATGTCAAATCAGTATTCTTTATGGCGCGGAAACATGGAGAACAACTAAGGCAATTACTAACAAACTACATTCATGAACTGGCGTCTGCACAAAACAGAAGGAATTGAATGGTATGATAGAATCCCTTATGTTGAGCTTTGGAAGAGAACTAAACTAGTTCCCGTTGACCAAGAGGTTAATAAAAGATACTGGCATTGGATAGGACACACACTGAGAAAACCTGAGAACAATATAAATATAGTGTCTTTGTATTGGAACAACAGGGTCCTGCCAGACATGGTCACTAAACACAAGATGGTCCAGGTGAGGGTTACCTGGGTGCTTGCTGCTGACATAAAAAACCCTCTGCCTTTCTGCTCTCTCTTGGATGCGGAAGCAGAGGACACTATTAGTCAAATCTGACTAGATCGAATATAGTAGAGGATGGAGCCAATCAGCTGCTGATGCTGAAATAATGGCCCTCATTAACAAGCACACTCAAACAGGTGATGTCATTATCTAAACAGATGGCAAAGTGGCTTATGGGGTGCAGTCTGGGTGGGCACATACAACACAGGTGAATGTGAAGACAGTAAAAGGAGAAAGTCAGGCATTCAGCTAAACTAATTCTAGCATGAGGACAGAAACAGCAACTGCCACAGGGTCACTTGCATGGCTGGTAGAACAGAAAGCAATTTGTGCAATAAGACTGACAGACTCAGTACGTAATGATTAAGAAGATTTCAACTAGAAAACTTCCAAGAATAGGTTAACAACATCCAGAAGTCCCACCACAAGATGTCACCCTATTCTTGGTTGTACACATCAGGACACGCCAGGGTGAACAGAAATGAAAGAGCCGACATACTGGCTGAGTCTGCAAAGGTAAGTGGAGGTAGAAGTATGGACAGGGCAGACATACTAAAGGCACTGCATTCCAGACACACTGAGACAAAGGAGTCAGAGACAATGAACCGCCTGTTGGAAATGGGCATTAAACAAGGACAAGCACACAGAAACTGGCTGAAGATATGCCAGTTAACTCCTATTTTGTACATCATTGATACATGTCAGACTGATGTGCTAGGATGCTGATATGGACAACAAAGCCAAATGTCTGCAAACAAAGCCATATATAGTTAAGAAATAACCTAATGATACAATATACAGTAAGTATGTTGGCATTGCTCACCTTCACATTTGCGTTTCCATGCCCCGAGTGGGGCCTGGGGGGAGTACTGTGCTGTGGGAACATCATCTGCCAAACACAAGACAGGATTTGAAATACACCACAAAGTAACAAACAATGTAGTTTCTTCTCCTTCTGCATTTGCTCCTTATAAAGCAAGTGGTACATTATGTTGAGGTTTATAGCTAGGCTGGGATATTTGTGCCTTGTGATCCAAAACCTTTGATTAAAAACAATTAGCCATCTTTTACAACATGCTTGTAAGGACAGTGGGCATTATATTTTTTCCTTTAAAAAAGGGTGTCCTGGAACCTACATGGGAAACTAAGCATACCATAATTCATGGTATAATGAAAGCTAACAGGGATATGGATATTAAGAAAATAATGGCAATAACAAACCATGAGCACTATCTGCCTACTGTACGAGAGTGGAGTCTTCTCAATGATCGAGTGTGCTAGGCCAGTCCTCACCCTCCAGCATAGACAGACTAGAAAGGATAGTTCTTCTTTTTCTTGTTCAGTGGCTATAAACTGCGGCAGAAAGTTCTGGTTGTTCGTCCATTTCTAAACTTTAGTCCTGTTCCAGAACCTGGGCATTGTGTGCACATCCATTTTACTTATAAAAACATTTGTATGCAGACTGTTGGTTCCTTGAGGATTTCAAGCTGTACGATATATATGGCCAAAAATGGCACCTTTTTTCGGGGGTGCCTAGTTGACCATGTTCTTAGTGCACCTGTTTCCATAGCAAGGCACACATGCCATTCGGAGGTTACAGGTTTGATTCCCGGTATGGTAACTATAGCTTTCAATTTTTATGTTGTCTAGTGTGTTCTTCTATCTTTATACTTCTTTCTATGAGTGTCTATTTGTTTTTTACACTTAATATTTCTACGGCCTTAATGATTCCCCCTGTTTATCTATGGGAACGAGGTATACATAGTGGAACCTGCAATTCAAATACCTTTCTTAAATGTTTGTTTATTCCAGGCAAAGCATTATGGTTTACTGTGTTGGTTAATCATTGCTATGTTTGTTATTCAACCTATGCTTCATTAATATACATTTCTGTAACTTATGGTGCCATTTAAATGGTTTGAGATGAATTCTTTCGTATTCCATAGTTGTTGATTTCAAGCTGTACGACAGACATGGCCAATAAGGATGACTTTTTTGGGGGGTTGCTAGTTGACCATGTTGTTAGTGCACTTGTTTCCGTAGTGAGGCGCACGCGACATTGGGAGGTGACGGGTTAAACTTCAGGCACTGTGACTAAAACTTTCAATTTTATGTTGTCTAGTGTGTTCTTCTATCTTTCTACTTCTTTCTATGACTGCTCAATCTGTCTATTTGTTTATTACATTAAATGGCTTAGCCATAGTATGGTACTGTCTAAAACAATCCTTTGGATGCAAATGCAGGTGACTATCACATCCTTTGTGTTTGGGCCTACTTCCCAGTCAACACACAGCATGAAGAAAACGTTGCTAGTTGAAGTGACACAGTCAGTGAGAGCTGGAATGAGGAAAATCTTGAAAATTATAAATCTAGAAATAGATAGGAAGTAGGAGAAGGGGGTGTGTCCCTCAAACAGCAACATCTGGTGTTCACTTTGTGAAACAAGGTTGATCCTGCTAGGTGGATTAGCACACAAAGGTGGAATATTGGCGCTAGATAAATGGTAAACCTATTTTCTACAGTGTCTCCAAGTTTCATCTTATTCTAGCCACTTGTTTGCATGTAACTATTATTTTTGTATATCTTGTTGGTTTTTTCGCGTTAATGCCCAGGAGCTCAGGTATAGGAGGCAGTTTGGTTCAGGGCCTCAGGTTTGGTAGGGTTAAAAAGTGAATACAACTTGAGACAGAGAACCTGCTGAAGAACGGGCACAAGTGGTAACAGAGTGTGTATGTCCTTTTCAATATAGTACTGGATTTGACAGAAAATGCAAAAAAAATGTTGTAGCTATGGAGCTAGAAGCTGAGGCTCTGATATTAGTAATATTAGGATATCTGATAATTTTTCTGAGGGTATTGCAGTAATTTAATCAGAGCTCTGATCTCATCCCTCAAAGCTGGCTCAGTTGAACTGTGGCGACAGAAGTGGAAGGAAGCCTCAAGACCTGTGTATTTAAAATGGAAATGAAATATGCTAATAGTAATAGTTTCTGAAGGGTGATGCACCCTTGTGCGATGATACTGATTCGTTGTTTAAACCTAAAATTTAGTTTTTGATTTGAATCTCCTCTGTGATTTAGGCACTGTGACGAGCTTTGTGCTGGGGTGCCGGGTTTGATCCTAGCTGCAGGCCTTGAGCTGGTTTTGACAGTGGTATCCAGAAACTGACCATACAGAAAGCAATGGCAGACTACTGGGTGTAAATTTGCCTAACAGTAAAAAAAATGCTGTGGTTGATTCTGCACAATGTCCTGAGGATAGGAAACTGACTACATGAAAAGCAGTAAATAATATCTAACGCTTCACTTTAGTAACTAAACAGGATTGGATTAAACAATTTCTCTCTCTGTGTTCGTGTGTAGGTGGGTGTGGATACCGCCAGAAGTAAGATATATATACCATAGGGCATGATATAGGCGCGTCCTACATTTCTAATATAATAATTTCTAACTTAAAAATTTTTAGGCCCATATAATCCCATTTGAAATACATAATACAATAATATCACAACGAAAGTCTTTAAATTTTCATTAAACAGTCAGAGGGAATTAAACCATATGCCTTATTTTCACAATCGCGACGAGAATACAAACAATTCAACAACAACAAATATGTATTTTATATGATGACGAATGAGTGAGTTCAGCGAGTGACATCACAACTGAAAACAAATTGTTTGGATGGGTCCTGCAAGTAGTGGTGAAACAATTTCACTCTTATATACTTCATGTAAAATCATACCAACACCACAATGTCGTTCTCGCACAATGTATGTACCTATATTTGAAGTTTAAACTTACATCATCGTATCATAATCCAAAAATGTATAAAAACAGTGTCAACAAAGTGTGTTGACAACGCTTTCTAGAGCAAGCTGTGATCGGCCATCTTAGCTTTGAATTTACCACAGCGCTATCTGATTGGTCAATGGTTTCATGAGAACCAATGGGAGTTTCCTCTCTTCTTTGTCTATCTTTCTTCTTTTTGTCCACACTGTGTGGCGTCGGTAATCATGTCTATCCACAACCTTCTGCCCCTTGGGCATCCAGTCAGTACTGACACCGCTGATCTTTCCTGTCATAATGTCAAACTGTCAAACCATCTTCTATCCTGGCCCCCCTCTGCTTCTCCTCCCCTCCAACTTTATCACCGTCGAGATATACTCCAGTATTTTTTTTTTTTTTGCTTTTTTTTTTACATGACCAACAAATGTAGATTGTCTGCTTAGATGTGGGCAATCAGTTTCTTTCTTCTTCTTCTTCGCGTTCACCAGCTGTACACTCTGGCGGAAAGTTCTGGTTGCTCGTCCACTACTGAACTGCAGTCCTGCTCCAGAACCTGAGTGTTGCGTGTGCATCAGTTTTACAGATCTCATTCTCTTGAATACATACTGTTGATTCCTTGCCTCTCCGGCAGATGCACTCCGACTTCAAAGGAAGCTTCCCAATTAGTCGACTCTTACGAAATGCTTTTGGAGAGGCAGTGGGTCTATTCTTGTTTTCCCCACAATGGGGCCCCGGAACCCACGCAGGGGGGGGGGGGTGTCTTTCAATACATTAGCATTAATCTTTTTATCTGTCCAGTGTGTTCTCTTATTTTATGTAATAAATCACTCTCATTAAACATCAGAAAACGAGTACTGAAATGTTATATCGAGACTGTTCTGTTGTATGGTAGTGAATCTTGGAATGTGAGCAAACACATTATGAAGAGTTCGGAGGCAACTGAGGCGTGATTCTTAAGAAGAATGTTGAGAATACCTTGGACTGCCAAAATAACCAACATTTAATGCCTAGAAATGGGTAATGAAAGTTGAACATTATATACAACAATGAAAAGAAGACACAGTTTTTTGGTCGTGATAAGAAAAGGAGCACCGGAGAATATCGTGACGACTGGAAAGATCACTGGTAGAAGAGGCAGAGGCCGACCAAGAGAAATGATGGTGGGTGGCTTAAAACAGTGACATGGAGGAATATCATCAGTAGAATTTTCGTGTAATTTCATGTAAATAATATATTCAACTATATGCGCCATGCTTTGGCGCCAACAGTTAAAAATGCATAATTCACTTACAAGGCGACTTATTAATAGGTGTGTTTCCTTCGTAGGTGGGTCGCATCTGCCTGCGAGTCGAAGAACCAGCTGTGCATACAAATATACCAGATCTGTAAAACGGACATTCACACACACACACACACACACACACACAGAGAGAGAGAGAGAGAGAGAGAGAGAGAGAGAGAGAGAGAGAGAGAGAAACTTCCTTCAAAAGGATGCCAAGGACAGGTACTGGCGTGTTTATCACCAACGGGGAGAAAAAACGGGTTAACTAAAACTAGGAAATGGACGGAGTAGACGCCCACAAACAGTGTACACTGAGTGTCTAAAGAGGCAGGGAGGGGTTGGCCAATAAGGCGTAACCCGGGTTGGGTCGTGGGGAGGACATTAGTCCAACTCATGGAATAAAAGTGGTGCCTGTGCTGACGAACAAATACCAACAGATAGGCAGGCCGGCAGACATGCATGCTGATAGATAGATAGATAGATAGACAGACAGACAGACAGACAGACAGACAGACAGACAGACAGACAGACAGACAGACAGACAGACAGACAGACAGACCGACCGACCGACCGACCGACCGACCGACCGACCGGACGACGACCGACGACCGACCGACCGACCGACCGACCGACCCGACCGACCGACCGACCGACCGGACCGACCGACCACGACCGACCGACGACCGACCGACCCGACCGACCGACCGACCGACCGACCGACCGACCGACCGACCGACGACCGACCGAACCGACCGACCGACCGACCGACCGACCGACCGACCGACCGACCGACCGACCGACCGACCGACCGACCGACCGA